TAGCATATGGGCCACATTTATTATAAAATATGAAGCAATGTTTGGTACAAAACAAAATCATTCGATTACCAAATGATTTTGTTGAAAAATATAAACTAACTTCTGATTTGGTTGAAGTGCAACACATTAAAGATTTTTGTGAAGAAGAAGACAAATTTGAGCTGCAATTTGCGTCTAAATTAAATGTGGATCTTTTACAATCTAACCATTTTAACAAAATGAAGGTGTCATATTCTCTAAAGGTTTTGAATCGAAATTTTAGTTGTGGAATAAAATTTGATGCGGAAGAGGATACAGCTGTTTTTATTGATGTTGTGCATAGGTCGTTCCAGTTGCTTAGTTCTAGATCAACTATTTTGGCCTTGAGCAAGTTTAATATGGCTGTCTATAGGGAAACTATAGAAATCCTTCAAGAATTCATTAAGTTATTTTTAAACTTAAAAGTCGCTCCTGACGAATTTGGAAAAGCAGTTTGGGAGCCTATTCAAGTAGATGTTATACTGACTACAACATCAATTTTAGACCTGTGAAACTTGTTTTTGAACGAAAAAAAAATCATATTTATTAACATCGAGATTTTCTTAAGAATGTTTTGAAAATGTATTTTCCCAAATTCGCTAAAGACATCCGGTCCCTACGGCCATTCAATTTAAATATGATTTAAAACTTCTATCAGTTTCTCAATATTTGGACGTTTTAAATAACTCAAATTACGAAACCGACGAAACAACACCTTTAGTTGGTTTTTTGAGTCATATTAACAGAATAACAGCAAAAAAAACTGTATTCCTAAAGGAAAAGAAAATTTTGCTTTACCTAGAAATTGGAATTTGAAGAAAAAAGAACTTTCTTTGAGAGAAAAAAATGCTTTGTACAGTTGCACAGGTTACGTTGTTTAAATCTTGCTAAAAAATCAAAATTTTTGCAAAAAATGTATTGTTGCTTTGGTCGCTAAGAAGAATTGTAATTATTAAGACCCACCACTGACCCGGAAATGACCGGCATTCAGGCAAGACTTCTATCATTACGGGTACTAAGACCAAGCAATGATATGCATTGATTAGATTAACAAAACAACTTTCGAGATTCTAGAATTACAGCATACAAATTAGTCTGCTATTATTCTCTAATCTCAACCCATCCCCAAAAGTCTAGCGTAACCACGGATCATTTATCCGCGCATCACTTGGAAAATGACCTACGATACTCTGACCTAATGGTGCTAATCTAATCTGACTGACATGATCAGACTGTTCGAGAAACTTACGAACAATATAACATGTTCCTAACAAAACAGTTTAATGAATTTTGACAATTATTGAATCATTCAAATGCAAAAACTTTAAATTCTCAACTAAGCTATTTGGGACTACACATACATTAGAGATAACTAAGGGTAGAATTGAATTTTTTTTAAGATTCAACATGGATTTCATTTCTATCGATCATAAATTGTAGATATTTTGAAATCTTGGTGTGGTATGTTTGAATAATGTTGTTTGTGTTAGGAATAGCAATGTCAATCAAAATAGCTTCGTTCATGTTTTTTGCGATTATATGTATTGTGTATGTATATTATATATATGTATTGTGCGATCACAGTATAATTTGTATTTGTTATTTTCAAGGAACAGAGATGGAATGTAAGTATAATAGGGTGTCGTATCTTCGAGTAAGTTCATAAGTGTTGCTAATTCTTTGTGAATGATTTTGGCTGCGTTGTCGTGTCTAGCTTTGTAGTCAGTTTGTGCCAGGATGCTGCAGGAGGAGATTATGTGTTGGATCGTTTCAGGTTTTGCTTTGCAGAGGCGACAGCAGTCGTTTCTTATGTTCGGATCTTTGATGATGTATTTTCTGTAATTCTTGGTATTGATTACTTGGTCTTGAATAGCAAACACAAATCCTTCTGTTTCGGCATACAAACTTGATTTTTTTAACCAAATCAATGACATCTTCTTGTTGACATGAGTTTCTTCTAAGTCTTTGTAGAATTTTCCATGTACTTGTTTTTGTTTTAGCCCATTTATTATTTTGTCTATTGTGTGGGGGGTGTGGATTTCTTCGGTGTTCGACAGATTTAAGGGTGTGTGGTTCAAATCTGCTCTTGTGATGGTGCGAAACATTTCATTTCTTTCCGCTCGTTTCAAGAAATACTTCTTCAAATCTGAGATTTGTCTCTGATATAAGTTTTCTAGGTTCTGGAAACCCCTTCCTCCATTCTGTCTTGGTAATAAGAATCTTCCAATGGACGATTTTGGATGATGCCTTCTATACCGTGTGAAAATTTTCCTTGTTGCGATGTTTAAATTTTCAAGATCAGTCTTGGACCATTTAATGACTCCAAAAGAATATGTTAGCAGTGGAACGCAGAATGTATTTACTGCTTTCATTAAATTGTTTCCATTTAACTGTGTCTTCAATATTAATTTTAATCTCGCTAGGTATTGATGTTTCAACTGTTTTCGTTTTGGTATGATTGATATGGGAGGATTTACAGAAATCCAGATATTTGTATGTATCATTTCGTTCTTGGGCTTCGATTATTTCGTTATTATGGGTTATATGTGGTAGGTACTTGGTGTTGGACGCCTTTTCTGATTCCTTGGGTCTCACATTTCTAAATACCAAAACACATACCAATTTTGTGCACTTGTATATATTTTTATGTCATCCATATACAGCAAATGACTTATTCTGTTTTCTCTTTGTTTGTTAATTCTTATATTGAACCCATAATTGCAGCTGTTCAGGATATCGGAGAGGGGATTTATTGCTAAGCAGAACCATAACGGACTAAGAGAATCGCCTTGAAAAATTCCTCTTCGGATCATTATTGGACCTGACTGAATTGTTTGTTCATTTAAGGTTATTTGGAAGGTGGTCTTCCAAAATTCCATGGAACATTTGAGAAAAGTGCAGATTTTAGTATCAATTTTGTATAGGTAATTCCAGAATTTTGCATAGCCAGGAATGAGGGACAGAATCGTAAGCTTTCTTATAATCAATAAGAGCAGTATATATGTTTCGGTTTTCTTTTCTAGCTTGTTCACAGATGATGGAATCTATGATTAATTGCTCTTTGCAACCAAAGGATCCTTTAATACATCCTTTCTGTTCTTCATTAATGATGTCAGTGTTGATAGATTTTTTGTGTAATGCAAGAGGTTAATATTTTATAGATTGTCGGTAAACATGTGATAGATCTGTTTTTTGATGGATTTTTTGTGTCGTTATCTTTAGGTTTTAGGTATGTTACACCACGACATAAGAATGTTGGAAGGGAGAATGGGGCAAGAAGGAACTGATTTAAGTGATGTAATAAATGAATATGTACACAATTTAATTTTTTTATCCAAAAATTATGGATTTTGTCTGGTCCTGGTGATTTCCAGTTGTGTGTCTTATTGATGGTATTTATTAATTCGGCAAGTGTTATCTGATGATCATTCATTGGTGTGACTGTGGATAGTTTATGGGATATATGAGGACTCCATTTGGCAGATTATTATTATTATTGAAATACGGGAACTCAACAGGCATGTAACCCATTTTCCGAGATCCACAACTACCAAAATGAAAACAAATTTAATGAAATAAATAAAATAAACAAAGAAAACCCAAACACATAGAAAGGTAAGTAGATAATTAAAATATGTCAATAGTTTCTTCTACATTCAAATAGTTCATAATTGCTAGATACAAGGGCGAAGATTTTAATATATTAGTTCTAGATGACGGAGTTCAAAAATTCTGCCACTCCTTAAGTTGGATCTAGGCACACGTAAGTAAATTTGGCACACGAGAGCAGGACAATTAATGCCATTATTAATAGTGTTTGATAGAAGAACGATACTATTCAAGCTACGTCTTTTTACCAGACCTGGCATTTGAAATCTAAACAGCAAAAGATCATTTGGAAAACCTTGAACAGGATAAACGCCATCCTCCAAAAATGCAATAAATTTAAGAAAGCGTCGCTGCACTTTTTCTACACTGTTGATATGAATATTATAAATAGGATTCCAAACTACAGACGCATATTCAAGCCTAGATCGAACAAAACTAAAATATCTCTATCATCTCTATTCCTTTGGAGTTGCGAATGATAAAGCCAAGAGATTTGTATGCCGATGCAACGATACATTCAATATGCTACTTATATGAAATTCAACTTTAGGTCAAACTTAACTCCTAAATCTTTTATATGGTGTAGCCCTTCCAAAACGTTACTAGCTATGGAATAATCAAAATCGATAGTATTTTGCTTTCTTGAATAAGTCATGACATAACACTTACTATAGTTTAGTGGAAGATTATTACTTACAGACCAGTCACTTAATGTAGGTATTCAGATTACGTTGAAAATTAAGGCAGTCACTCCAATTTCGAATTTGAAGGAAGATTTTTAGATCATCAGCATAAATTAAGCACTTCGCTGTTAAATGTAAAGTTATGTCATTAATAAACATATTAAACAATATAGGCCCAAGAATCGAGCCCTGAGGCACGCCTTAAAGTTGTTCGTACCATTTAGACCGATAACCATTCAAAAAGACATACTGAGTTCTACCCAAGAGGTAAGAATTTATTAAAGTTATCAAATGATCTGAGAAACCAAAATATTTTAGTTTAATCAACATAAGGCGATGATCTATACGGTCAAACGCCCTGGAAAAATCAGTATAAATACAGTCCACCTGACCCTGTTCGTCTAACACCTCAGATAAATATTGTGTCTTCAGCACCAAATTAGTCACCGTAGACCTACCTTTCACAAAACCATGCTGACTATCTGTGATCATATTCGAAACATGTGGATAGATTAAAATATGAAGGACATGTTCAAAAACTTTTGCCAGATTGTTAATTATTGTTATGGGTCGATAATTGGTAACATTAGATCTATCGCCATTTTTATAAATAGGAGTAATCCTCGACTGCTTCCACACATCAGGAAATGTGGACGTACGCAAGATTATGTTAAATAATATTGTCACCGGTTATGCCAAAATTGTCGCACAATCTTTCACTAAGAATGATGGTATTAAGTCCGGTCCTGCAGTCATAGTTGGTTTCAATTTACGCATAGCTTTGAATACAATTTCTTCATCGAAGTTCTCTATATTGAGGTAGTCGATACTTGGATCATTTGAACTATTGTAATCATAATTTTGAACAGAATTAGAGATGCTAAAAGCTGTTTTAAAGAAATCTGCAAAGGTTTCCACAATGTTCTGGGGGCTGTTTAAAGCATTTTCTTTATAAGACATCGTAGTAGGAACAGATGAAATGTTGTTTTTGGCCTTGATGAATCCCCAAAATCTTTTCGGATCGTTTTTAACATTAGTTGAGACATTACGCATGTATATCAAATATATATCTTTAAAGTTTTTTTATGTCCCTTCTCAGTGCTTTGAAATTTTCATGAGCAATTACACAGTTCGTTTTCTTAAATTGCAGCCAAAATTTATATTTTTGTTTGATCAGATTAATTATATTTCTATTGTACCAAACTGGATAATTACCGGCAGGTTTTTTCTTTGTAGGCACACATTTGCGTAAAATTGAATGTATGGCATCATAAAACATAGTAACTGCATCATGTATATTATTTAAATTCTTAAGAAAATCAAAATTAAGTTCTGCTAGTTCTGTGTAAAGATCAATTAAATTAGCTTTTTTAAAATTAAATTCCAAAATATGATCCCCATGTTTCTGCTTTTTTTTGTCCTATCATTACTAACACTAAATGTAATCTCCAGTGATGGATGATAAGGATCTTCAGGAGTAACCGAATCAGTTGCCGATGTTACAGAGAGATTAAAGTTCGCATAAATTAAATCTAAAATTCGATTATCACAATTTATATTATTATTATACTGGATGAGCTCATAAAAATTTGACATATTTCCTAAAATTGCTACTTTATTACTAAGAAGAACATCACCTGTAGTACAATTCCAGAACTCTGTAACATTTAAACGTTTTAACGTTTTCATGTAGTTAACACAGTTGCTACATTTGAGATCATCAGTCTTACACTCAGCAACATTGTGTAGGAAAACAAGTTTTATTTTTGCACCCTCTTGGTGAGTGTCCGTACTTGTTACAATTGAAACATCTTGTAACTTCAAACGAATCATATATAGTACGGCCATCAAGGCCAATTAGACAATGGCCTACATTCAAAGCTCTTTATAGGTAAGCAGATCAACTTCACATAGAGCCTGATAGATTGTATTATTGTTTTTCGTTGCATTGAGTTTAAGCAATTTAATATCCGAATCTTCACCAAAAATTATTTCATTTTGTTTTCTTAAGTATGTTACAATATTATCGTCTTCTATATCATCGGAAAATCCAACTATTCTAATGCTTGGTCGTATGCTTCTGACTTCTCTTATTTCATATTGTGCAGAAAATTTTCCCTTGGCAATTTGCTTCAACGTTTTAGTATTTTCACATCCGACTAACAATCCACCATCTTTAAGTGTTTTTACCTTGACGATATTCAACGATGAATTAAAAGGGTCAACTGCATTTAGCATATCTGACTTGGTTTTCGAAACCCATTGAGTTCAATCTTTTGGTTGTACAATTACTGTTTTTTGCGAGTTTTTCACCACGGTTTCAGCATACGACGTTTTGGCACTCAGTTCATTACTACTAAGTTCGACGAATGTTTTAGGCTCAGAAGATTTATCGGATTTTAAATTTGAGCCAATAATAATAATAATTACAGTAGAAAACCTCTGTTTCAGGCACTAAGAGCCACCACACACCGTAACACACCGCACGTAAAATCTTATTAAAAGAAGAATTGTAATGAAAATTATGCAAAATTTGTGGCTTTAAAAGAATATAAAACTGATGCTTTACATTACGCTTCAGAGAACGCGTTCCAAATATCAATTTTAGTAGAGCAAATGTTTTGTAATTTGAGAGATTATTTAAAGAATTATAATTTTTGCACTGGTAATGTTTTGGAAGTCATGAAGAAAGAAATTAGGAAAAATTCGACTTATCGCTCAATACAATTTCCAACATGCTGCAACAGCAAAACAAAATTTACTGAAAGAATGATAGTTTACCGTCTGAAAATCTATACCAGAAAGGCTAAAGAAGAAATAAGAAAAAACAAACAAAAGCCAGCAATGAGGGATTTGGTTGAAAATGCAAATTAAATCTTTGAAAAAAAATAAAGAGCTTGTTTTCCTCAATAAATATGTTACCCAATATTGACATTGTTTTTTGGATAGCGGTCATAATGTAATCTAATCACTAATTGTTTGCGTTGACTAAATGAAAATGTTATGAAATACTTACTGATGTACCTTAATCTATCGAGATTCGAGATTTTTGATCGTGTATCCCGATACAGACTTTTACATAAATTATGTAGGGCACCTTGAAGTGAAAGAATCTTTACTAGATTGGCTATCTTTTATCTAAACCATTGTGTCTTTCGAGTGTGAGTTGGAAGCCATTTGTTTCATGATCTTGAAATGTATAGTGGTATTGTTCAAGGGTCGATCATTATTAGACTACTACTTTTGTTATTATGTGTGTCCAATCTTTGACAGTATTAAACCAACAAATCCTTTTTCGCAAAAAATACGAAACGGTACTGTAATCCCCGCCTCCCAATTCATCAATTACAATAAGATCGTGTCAGTCCAGCTAAGTAATGTGAGTTAATAAAACTTAACTCCAAAGGCTGGTATAAAAATACACCCATTGAGCAAAATGAAATCTTTAAAAGGACAAGATTCAGCTGCAAAAATTGGTATTGACGTCAAAAAATTGAAAATCAGCTAATAAAGGTGACTAGTCGCTCAAATTTAAGCTCTATTAAACCCTAGTTGCAACTCAACAATGATTACCATGCTACGATAGTCAACTCTATGAGAGGCCATGAAACGACTTCTGCTTTCGAGATTTATTTTCTCATGACAAAATTTCATTTTTTAAACTCGTTTTTGTCAAGTTAAAAAATTCAATTTTATCCGGAAAAAAACCTCTCGTGTAATTACAGGCGATAATAGCTATTGATTTGTGTGGATGGTGTAATTCTATGAAGACTGTCCCACATTAGACTAGGAACCTGTTGAATATGAGGGTAATAAAATTAAGTGATTATTATTAGTATTTTACACCCGCTTGACTTTTTTACTCCCAACAATCAGAAATCTAGGAATTCCACAAACACGTTTTTTACACATTAAACAATAGCATTTTGGTGGTGAAGTTTGAATATTCGTCGCATGAAACACCGTAATTCTCTACTTGTTCGTGCTCCTAAGGTCACTCATGTGTTGACAATAGCATCCTGCAGCATCTTAGTGTGCTGATTACCATGCAGGTGCACTTGGTCGCATACGAGCTAGCAGGTGTTCCCTAAGGACCTCCTCCCTATGAATACAATATTTCATTAGAGGAGGTGGACATACGGGTCGCAGGAATAAATCTCAGACTGTAGCTGAATACGGCACCCGCGGGTCAGATTCAGCTGTCCTCGGCTCACCTACTCCAAACTCGCCTCGCTGAACACACACGTACATTACGACAGGCCTTTAAATGTCCATCCTAAGAGCAACATCTGCATACGTGTCGTTAAAAAGCTTACTCAAGGATGTAGTATGCGGAAAATTAAGACAAGTATAATGTGGTGAGATGATGCGTTTTATGGGTTGATGAATGGCGTTCTGTTAGGTCAGGAATAAAGACAGAATGAGCCTAGCAATATACTGAAATAGATATATAATTCGGGGTAAATGTAATAATAACACTGCATTTATTGACACTAATAAAATTATGTACTTACTATAAATGTACCATAAACGAAATGCTAAAGTACACAATAGATAAAACATGCTAAAACGAGGGTCAGTACTAGTGGAATACACTGTTAGTCAGTACAACTGCTAGGCTATTTTTTGCAATAATAAAAAATTACAATTTACATAGGTACGTACGTATCAAAGCGTTTATCTTAATCCAGTTAAAAAAAAATTCCGTAGAAAATCTAAGATGAAAGCCTCACGAAGTTAATCGAAGTTAGGTTAATTCAGCATTAGAATAATATGGAAAATATGCAACCACTTCAAGTAAAATTGCTTATGTTAACAATTCTCAAACAGTATCGGAGTTGAAATAGCAAGGATTTTTTTAAAAATTTAAAATGTGTTCGTTACAAATTCCAAATATATCAGTGACATTTGTCATGCAGCTGTTCCTGCCTAAGTTTTATAAATTCAAGGTTTCTGTAAATGATTACAGGGTCGACGTAGGTATGGAAGCGTGCCGTTTATCACTTTATATGCACTTTACTAAATACCGAAGAACTCATGACAAATACAACAAGCATAAAAAGACTGTGTTATACATAATCCTGAGTAGGAAAGTATTTTTTGATAGTTTTAATTGATTCACTGTGCATCAAATGTTTATACTAGATCGAGTAGTAGAAGAATGCGACTTTAATTCTTGCAAGTTTGTTTTGGAAGTACAAATTGCCGTGTCATCTGTAAATAAAACGAAGGAGCTTATATTTGAACATCAAGGCTCAATCGTTTATATGTATAACAAAGAAATAAAATCGGTCCTGATATTGAACCCTGCGATACTCCTGCAGCGACCTTTAATTTTATTGATCAATATCTGTGGGAAAGACAATCGAAAGCTTTCATGAGGTCTAGAAATTCATCACACGCAAATTGTTTATCGTCGAAAAGCGACTGAAGTATTGGGAAGCTATGTTTCGTATTTAAATTATTTTTATGATCATGTAGCAAAATATATTTACAGCGAAAAATATCTGACAAAAAAAATTGTTAAAAAAACAAAAATCACATCAACAACAAAACAGATACAACTACTCACACAATCAGTCGTACGTTTGTACGTTAACAATAAGAAAATTTTTATATAGAATACATACCCTAATCATCCAGTTTCTTAGTAAATGTGGAAGTTAATGCAGTTACTATTATTAAGTCGCCAATTTCGTCCCTCTTTTTTTGTTACATGCGCGGCTATTAGTTGTAAGTCCTGCAACCTCTAATAGTGAAAAATTGTCAGTCAAACGCAAAACTCCTTTAGTTGATAATATGTTGCTTAGTTAGTAAAAACCAATGATAAACTTGAGATATTTTTTGACTTCCTGTCTGTAATGAGAAAAAAAAAATAAAAACTCCAAGTAATGTTCGAATTTACTAATGAAATGTTTCTTCCACAAAATATGTTTTTAATACATTTTGAAATAATAAATCAAATACAGCATAGAGGTGTAGAATGTGCGCAAATCCATGTTCTGCAACCGGTACAAGGAATTAAAAAAAAACATTTCACAATAAGCAATTCGGCAAATCAGATTTAGGAAGGTCTAGGAAACGTGACTGGACCCCGATCAGTTATTCCAGCTAAAATGCAAAATTAGTCGCTGCCAATTTTCACTATATATTTGTATTTACTTACGAAAAGCTAACTGCATTAGTAAGAGCAAGCTCATATGGAAAACTATAATTTTAACAAAGTGCACTTTCTTAAACATTTTTCGTTTGTTACTGGGTAAGTAGTGCAAAAAAAATGAAACTAGAAATAATTAAATCCAAAACTAGGTAATATATAATATATGCTAAAATGTATAATGTGACGTTCGAGAACGCTGTTATCAAGTACGACGAAAATGCCGAAGATAAGCATGGATTTTCTTGGAACAAATACATACATATTTGTACCTTGGTGTACGTTATCTAGTCATATTCAATATTGACAACGTCGTATCTAATTTTTCATACCATACTCGAGTAATTGAGGCCGCAATTATCCCTACACATTATCAATACTTGGTATTGAAAATTGAAAAACATACAAGCAACAGATAAAAATCAAATAACAATAGAGTCGTCTTTATTTCAGTTTGAAGTCTATTTACTAAGTCATGTAAAACGACTTAAAATATCGTCCTGCTTTTTGTACTAACCCGAAAAAGAGGTGTTATTAACACTATCCGATTAATATTAATATCCTATATAGTTAATAATTTTAAAAATAGTTTTTAAAATGGATTATTATCAGAGTAGAGCTATTATTTGGATATGCAGGAGACTAATATCAGTTCCTAAGATGTTTCGAGTGTACATTTATGTACGTTAGCGTCCTAACCATTGTACGAATTAAGAGATCGTTTATGTTCTTCTCAAAGTTACATGTGTGTATATGCGTGAAAACAAAGCAGCGACAAAATAATTTTATTATACAGGGGATGTTTCATGGCAAGTGATAGATTAAAATTTCTGAAAGATTACCACCTGTAAAAAAAAAATATTGAAAACATCTTAAATAAATCTTTGTTGAATTTTCTGTTACTTTTCAGCACGGGTCCGTTATCTTGGCACCAGCAAGTTAATGAATTTTACTCAAAAGCTAGCACCTCGTTGTTCTAACCTAGCACCAGCTAGCACCACTAATCAAAAAGCTAGCACCATCTAATTATTGAAATAAAAGCCTTTTACTTTTGACATCATTTAATTCTCATAAAAAGTTGGTCCGAGGTAGTTTGGACCTAGCACCAGCTAGCACCATTAGTCTCATAGGTAGTACGACTCTGCAAGTGTTAAAAAAAATTAAAAACCAAAAAAAAAGTAGCCCCCACTTTTTTTCTTTTATGCTAAAAATCAGTAGGTTAATAGTCTATAGCTAGCACTCGCTGGATCCATTAAAAAAAAGTGTGTTTTTATTCAATAAAGCCATGTAATAAAGGGTTATTTTCGGGGGGAAGTTAACGCTAGCCCTCAATATAATTTAAAGAGAATGAAAAGCTAGCACCATTAAACAAACTAAATAAAATAATTGAAAAGCCCTGCAAAAATAACTCGCATCTATAATTCCCAATCGTGGCCGGAAATAAACTATCTTTGAATATTCAGACTTATCCAGGTGTGAACAGATAAAATAATCACACTGCAACTTAAATTTGGGGAGCGATAAATTAATACAAATTTACAACTAGTTCCAACATACTCATCTAATGCAATAGAGGTTACCACTTTAATAATACTTTTGATTTAAAAAAGAGATACAAAGAAAATAGGAAAATACTGGGTACAGCATAACAAAAAAAATATTGCACTTATAAAAACTCATTCGTAATTCCTTTACAAAACTAGGTATAATGTATAAAAAAAGAAAAAAGCAACATGCAACATAATGAATGTCACACGTTTTCGTTGTGATGAAATGCATATCCTACCCAGAAGAGGTGGGTTTCGACTCCCTCGGTATCCAGTAACACCGCGTAAACTATAATTTTGATTTTTGTGGGAAATTTGTTTAGGAATATCCGGTAAACGTAACGTTAGTTCATTTGTGTGAGTATGTACACTTAGTGGTCGATTAATAAAAATGGACTTTTTAAATCTATAATTCTTTATAAATTTCCGGTTTTACATGAACCACATCTTAGTACAATATGTTGGTCCACATAATTTGTTAGTAAATATATGTTTGAAAATAATTTGCATTTTAACCAATAGAAAAATTGGTTTTGTAAAAACTGTAAGAAATGTCTTTAACGTTTCAGTTATCGTTAGTAATACAAATTTTACAAGGCCAACCAAACTGTTCACAAATAATGCTATTTCGTCTACCTGAAGTACTTATTACTAAGCGCGAAACTAATGAATAGACCCTTGCCCCAAAATAGGGATTATTATTACGGATAATAAAAGTTCATAGTTTGTACTTGACTTCTAGACACATTTTTGTTAAGTTTCCAGGATTTTAAATTATTTTAATAATATTTTAAGAATTTAGAGTTTACAAAGGTTTTCGTCATTAACCTCGGATTTATAAATTACAAATGACTTAAATTTTATAGTCTCGCTTGTTATTTCAAATTTGTTATTTACGTAATGTCGGTCAAATGTATGACTGTGGAAAAAAATAAATGATCACATTTATCATGGCCTAATTTTTAGTGTGTTGAAATAAATGCAGAACGATTTGAACGCAAGTGATGTAATTTAATTAAATATGTAGATAATGTAGATATTAATGTTCTGTTCAATGCAGAAAACATCTGTTAGATATTCAGGTAAATCATTAATGTATATTAAAAATAAAACTGGACCCAATAAAGAACCTTAAAGAACCCCATGAACGATTTTAACACAATCAGATAATTCGTCACTAATTTTAACGTACTGTGTTCTATTGCTCAAGTAGGATAATATCAACTTAGTACTATCTGGATGAAAAAATCAAACGCTTTACTTAAGTCTAAAAAATAACTAAAATAAATTTGTTTATGTCCAAAACAATCAATGATTTTATTAATTAAGTTTATTACAGATGTTGTTCTTGAGCATCCTTTTCTAAAGCCAAATTGATAATATAATATATTGTTTATTTCTAGAAAATGTAAAATTTGTCCAAGCAGCAGTTTTTCAAACACCTTAGAAAATATAGGTAGTAGCGAAATTGGTCTGTAATTATTTTTGTCATCAGCATCTCCTATTTTATGAACTGGCAATACGGATGCAATTTTCAAACAATCAGGAAATATTTTATTATCAATACAAAAGTTTATCAATAATGTCTTTAACAGCTTTTAAAATTCCAGTTGAAATGCCAAAAATATCCTTAGAATGGCTATTTTTTAAACTATTAATAGCATTTCTTACATCAGTCTGTGAAACATTTGTAAATAGAAATATATTTTTGCTACCTGTATTATTTACTTTCATTATGTGAATCGGATCAAAATTTGGAGCTGGTAATTTACTTTTAATTTCGCTAGCTTTAGTTGAGAAAAAGCTAACGAGTTATGGGAGTTATTTCATTCTTACTATTACAATTGGAGCTTTGGATAGACCGATTGCTATTTATCACTTTCCATAGGATTCTCGGATTAGCTTTATTAGCTTTACTGAATTTATTGTTATCTTTTACTTTCGCTTCCCTAATGGCTAAGTTATATTTCCTTTTAAACTGGTTGAGTAAAATTTTTAGTTCTAATGTTCTATGTAGATGATGAGCGTCAGTTATAAAAAAATATCTCAAAGTTTCTCTAATTTCTCTTAATTTAGAATTAAACCATCTGTCACATAGGGCATTAGAACTCTTTTTGTTAATTTTTTTTTTTAAGAAAAAGATAAATTATAGTAATGTATTACTATATATAAAAATTCTTTAAACTTGAGCTGTACATCTACATCTATATCAATAAAGGTCCAGTCGAAATTAATAAGATACTGAAAATAATAAAATTTACCAATATTTGTAACAGGTCTCTATATCTTAATTATTTTAGAACATGTGTTATTATTAGTTAAAATATTTCGTATATCAACGACAACTCCCCGATGATCCGCAATATTTAATTCTGTTGGAGTTGCAAAAATTGAATGTGATTCTATATTAGTAAATACATAATCAATACAGGCATTACCACGTGTAGGAAAATTAACTAAGTTATGCATATTAAAATTAGAAAATAAAAATCTATCAATAATTGACTAGATAAGTCATTAGTTTTTTCTAAATGCACATTAAAGTCGCCACCAACTATTATATGTTTGGCCTTAAAATTTAACGCGTTAAGTAGTTTAGTCATTAACTCTAGAAACAAATTTATATCCCCGGAAGGTGTCCTATAGATTACAATAAAGAATAGATCAAATTTGGGTAAAAACGAACCTGTTATTTCACATGGTAGTTCTACAGACTTTATTTCGTAGACACTCAACATTTATAAACAGTAATTCAAGGTCTTCTATTTCCTTTTTTCATTCAATTGCTATATAGAATATCTCGTCTTGCTCTTGCTTATATCGCATAATCGTTTGTACACTTCACAATCATAATCAAATCGAGAGTGATTTACTGTGAGATTTAATTTTTGATTTTTGTTCATTTTTAAAGAGTTAACGCAAATTGAGTCATTTATGCAATCTGTTTCAGTGTGATCATCTCCTCCACAGTTTAAACATTTGGGTGGAATTTCAGTACCTTTTTCAGACGTATGATTGTACCACCCACCACATTTAAAACATCTGTAGACGCTAATAAGCTCATAGATACTTAGCACATTCGCACCATTGAATCAATACAGTTTTTAGCATCATTATTTCCGAGAAGGTTTTCGGATCTACTTCTATAATAGCTAGATTTTTTTTTCATCTGTTTACATGTTATTAATTTGAAAGTTCCACTAATATCTTTAAGTATCGGATTTTGTTTCGTTAGACATGTCTTAAGTTGTTCTTCATTCAGTTGTTCCCCTAGCCCAACTATTTTAATTTTAGGATTTTGTAATGTCGATTTTTTAACAATAAAGTTATTGTTATTACCCAATTTAGCTTTGTATGTGTATTAGTAATCCTGTTGTGTTGTCTAATGCTATTTAAAGTAATAAAATTACTATAAAGGTTGAATAAATTTGATTAACGGGTTCGAGAAATCTAAGTGATTCTCAAGGTGTTCAAAAATTTTGGATGTAGTTCCCAGTTTGCTGTGATGGCGGAATAAGTATAAATTGCTACCACAGTTATATTTCATTTTTTGATTGAAATTTCTCTGTTAAGACTACAATTTTTTCATCAATGGTACACACATTAGTAGAAAAGTTACTTATTTTAGTATTTAAACCCCT